AATGCCGAGCTGGCCGGGTGCCCGGGCCCTTTCCCAGCTGCACAGCACAGTGTGCAGCAGCCCGAGGGGCTGCGCTGCAGAGCCTGTCGCCCCCTCTTCCTCTCTTTTCCTTTTCCCTCATGGTCACAGCAGCACCTCCTCCAGGCTCTTACTCTCCTATGTCCTATGCAGGTTCCTCAATTTCCCCTTCCAGCACAGGGTGCAGGGAAAATGTCTTTGTTGTCTTCCTATTTCCTTTGTTTCCCACCAGCTTCATGCTCTTACTAAGACCCAGAGAGGAGAGGTTTACGTATACAACCACACAACCCACCACGGATGAGGATACCATCCCCTAATCCCAGGAAGAGATGCAAATCCTCAGTTTTGTGTTGGAGATGCCTCAATTCAGCAGCACTTCTGCCCCTGCTTCTCTGTCCTGTATGTTCTGCACCAAGGAGCTTTAGCTCTTCTGCTGTATTGGAGTGTGCTGCTGTTGCAGCTCGTGAGAGGCTGTGGGGGCTGCTGGAGAGCCTCAGACTGCATCTTGTACTGGTCTGATCTGAGGGAAAGGAGGTTTGGCCTGGCCTCTCTGCACTGCACATTCCATTTTCCTGCTTTCCACCTTGGGAAGAATGGTGTTGGCTTTAAAAACCTCAGTGGAGGGCAGTCACTGAGGGACTGCTCTGCTTTGTAGCACCGTGACCCCTCATCTTCTTGTCTCTATAGCCCATTGAAAAGCTGGTGGCTCTTCTGAACACCCTCGACAGATGGATCGATGAAACTCCACCGGTGGATCAACCTTCTCGCTTTGGGAACAAAGCCTTCAGGACCTGGTATAGCAAACTAGACCAGGTGAGCGTGTCTTTCATCCCTACTATTAAGTGCAGTTACAAAAAAGCAGTGGTAGCAGAATGGCTGCATCCCTCTGGTAGCCAGGCAGTCTGCGGGGGAGTTGCACAGTCTCTGATAAGCACTGGAGTGATCCAGCTCTTGATATGCATCACTTAGTGCTGACCTGGTGCTGTCTTTATCTCTTATGAGAGCAGAGGCTCCATGTAAATCCCTCTCTGGCTTTAGGCTGGCTCACTGTATCATTCCAAGGAACTCCTGTGCTCTGCAACTCCACATTGTGTCCACTAGCCGTTAGGTGACACAGATCATCAGAGGAAGGTTGTGAAAGTGCCTGATTTCAGCTCGGAGCACTCGCCCTGCACTGAGCTGGGGAGGTGGCAGAGGCAGGGGTGACTGTGGGGGGCTCCCCTGCTCTTTCAGCCTTGGGATGACTCTGTGGGTAACTGGGCTGATGTGCCTGAATGCTGAAGTTTCTTTTTCCCTGTAGGCTGCTTGTGTTCAGTGTTAACATCAGACAAAGATGTCCCTAAACTGCTCTGTGGAGGTGACTTCAGCAGGCCAGTTTATTCCTCTGCCAGGCTGGGTGCTGTAGGAGTGCACCAGTGAGCAGAGGACAACCTGCTCTTGGGGACTGCAGCAGATCTGTGCTCACTCGAGAGGCTCCTTTATGTCTTCCAGGAAGCAGAAAAGCTGGTGGCAACAGTGATCCCCAAGCACTTGGCGGATGCTGCGCCGGAGGTAGCGCTGTACCTGAAGGAATCCGTGGGGAATTCCACCCGCATTGACTACGGCACAGGTACCCCGGCACGCCGGCTGTCCCAGGCTGCACTCCAAGGGCAGCTGCTCTTTGGAGCCTCACGTTGGCTTTATTTAAATGTACTAGAGCTGCTGTTTTTAGTGCCAGAAGTTGCCCACCTTTCCTCTTGGGTCTCCTTAGCCTGTGTCCATTGTGGACTCTGAATGGGGCCTGGGGAGAGCTGGTGCTGGGAACTGGGCTGTACTAGAGCTCCGACACCCTTCTCATGTCTCCTCCGAGCACCTCAGAGTGGTTTAGGAGCTTGAATCAAGCCTTGTGAGCTGTTCTGGGATGAAGCTGGGGAGCTGCACAGCTGATCTGCAATAGGCAGGTGGGAGGGATAAAATGTGGCTGCTTGAAACTGAACTAGAGTGGGAAACAAATCTGTGTTCAGTGAGAAGTTCTGGTTTGGGCTCTGGTCTTTCCTCAGAGTAGCATCACTGCTCAAAGCCTGAGTGCAGACACATTTTGTATCTCAGAAAATACAAAATTGCAGGTTGGGGTAAATGCACTGCCTTCAGTTAGATGTAAATCCAGAAATGCTGGTGTGAAACCACGTGGCTACTCCACACTCTGCCCCTTCATCTGGAGGGCAGGGGTGCAGAGAAGGGCGTCCTCAACAAAAGCCATGGGAAACAAGGAAACACAAGTTTGGAAACAGGTAAAAGGTTGAAGTGGGGAGGCTGAGCAGTGCCTTGCTGGGAGAGCTGCATCTCGCTGGCACCAGGGGGAGATGTTGGCCTTGGAAAGGGACCCAGTGCCTGGGATTTTGACAGTTTAAGGAATAAAATTCAGTCTTTTCTCCCCTCCTGTGTGTCCTGTGCCAGGGGCCCATGTCCTAGATCTCCCCAGTGGCTGGACTGTGGGTGCAGTTTGTTCATACACTGACAGCTACATTTCCTTATAGAGCAAATCTGCCTATCTTGCATCTCCCTTGCTCTCTGGTCCTTTCCAGTGAAGGACACTGCTCTGGTTTTGCTGGCTGCCTTTTCCTCCTTGCTGTTGGCTGGAGGACAGAGCTGCAGAGCTTCAGCCGCTGATCCTGGTGCCCTGTGGGAGGGACTGTTCCCAGCACTGGCTTGGACCTGCATCCCTCTGACACAGAGGTCTGTCTGAAGCAGGAGGAGACCTGGTCACTTCTCCAGAGCAGTTCTGCAGAGCTCTGCTTCCCTCAGCATGCCAAGCTCCTGGGAAAGGCCCTGCCTTGCTCCCAGCACACCCAGTGTTGGAGCTGCCTTTCCTCAAAAACTTTCTTTTTTCTGTCTCCAAGTGAAGAGTGATCTTACAAATGCCTGGAAGGCACTTTGGCTGGGTGTTGTATGGGAATGAAATGTTGTCAGCACCTTAGGAACAGCTGGCTGGGGCTTTTGCCCTGGGAATGTGGCTGTTGTGATTTCTAAAGAGCCACTGTGGTGCCTACGCAAAGTTTGTCCCAAGAATTGGAGACACCTATGTCATATCTCTCCATCTTTTTTAACTTCAGGGCACGAAGCTGCATTTGCGGCTTTTCTCTGCTGCCTCTGCAAAATCGGCGTTCTCAGAGTGGATGACCAGATGGCCATTGTCTTCAAAGTGTTTAACAGGTGAGATACGGAAGGAGGAGGGTTGTTTAGGGGCCAGGTCTGGCAGTGTCCCCTTCCAGCTGTCCAAGATGTCTGAGATGTTCTTGCTCTGCACCTCAGTCTCTCCCCGTGGTCTGGGCAGGTTGTGTGCCCTTTCTTCCCACCGTCAGCACCCATTTGGAAGTAAGAAATTGTAGGAAGACCCTCCTCCTGGGATATGATCTGGGAAAATCAAGATCCTTCTGCAAAGGTGTATGTGTAGCAGAGAACACGAGTGCTGACAAGCATGCTGGCCTAGGGAACAAGGGCAGAGTAAGAAAACCATGTTTGAATACAAATATAGATAATTTCAAATTAGGAAGCAGATGTACTTTTTAATAGAGTATGTTGTTACCCATTATGACTATCTCCAGAGAGTGTGGTGACACCTTGTCTGTTAGAGGCTGGATATCTTTTTGGAAAGGTGTTTTAGTTGAACACAAGTTATCAAGCTCTTCAGAGGTATCTGGATGAAGTTCTGTGGTTTGTGATAGACTGGAATGTCTGACCAGATGATCTAATGTCTCTTCAAGCATTAAAAAAAAAAAAATCTATGAAACTGGCAGGCATCCACTATATCTTTACATGTATTTCCAACCCAGGAGGTGGAGTTGGTAGTGATGAAACCAGTGGAATGGGCATTTGGAGTCCAGAGATCTCATCCCAGATATAGAATTGATTGGTGGTGTGGAAATGATTTCCCTCAGTGGTTCTTCCTTGCATGAGTTTTCCACGTGAAAAATTGAAGTAGCAGTTGCCATGCAGTGGAAAGCTTTCTGAGCTCTTTTGGAAGTTATTGGAGGAGAGTGAAGTATCAATATTCTCAATTTACAGTGGGAATGGGGAAAAATCTGCACGAACCTAAGACTCTGTGGATAATATAAACCTCTTACACTTGCTTTCTTAGAGAATTCAGTATAAAAGATGATTTTATCCTGAATTGGGCTCTTCTGATGGGTCAAAAAATGAGCTTGAGGCCCTTTAAGGAAGAAGGTCTCTCTGTTTTCACCTCCCTCTTGTTCCATGGAGGGAGAAACCTGAGCTTGGTGCAAAAAACTGCCTTGCCTTAGCTCTTCTTTCTCCTTTTTGCTTTAGATACCTAGAAGTGATGCGGAAGCTGCAGAAGACCTACAGGATGGAACCTGCTGGCAGCCAGGGTGTGTGGGGCTTGGACGACTTCCAATTTCTACCCTTCATATGGGGCAGTTCCCAGCTAATAGGTAATAATAGAAACGTTCTGCTGTCCCAGCCTGCCCACTGTCCCATTGGTCTTGGTTGCAGGGCTGATGAGGCTTGCCAATAATTTTTAAGTATAAATGTGTCCATATTATGTATCATACAGTGAAAGAGTTTACTTGGGGCTCAAAAAATAAATGTTTTCTGCTTTTTCAAAAGCTCTGTCTGCTTGAATTTGGCCTAGGAAGAGGGGTGCTCTATAGGTTACTTCCTATTTTCTTTTACTCTTCAGACCATCCAAATCTGGAGCCTCGGCACTTTGTTGATGAGAAGGTGGTAAATGAAAACCATAAGGACTTCATGTTCCTGGAGTGCATCCTCTTCATTACAGAGGTGAGGACTGGGAAGTTTGTCCCACAGGGAAGTTCTCCTGATCCTAGATGCTAGGCTCTAGCTGTGGTTTTCTCTTCCTCCTTTGCTTGTTTGTCTGCTCTCATGGAACTGTGGGGATGAGCTGTTGCTGCATGTCTGGGACACTCTCCTTGAATGAGTTGAACAGGGATGTTGAGAGAAAAGTATAATTAAGCTAGATGGGCTGTGGATTGCTGTTGAAGGGAGCTCTAACAAGAGCAAACAAATAACCTTGGATCATCATTTGGATCAGTCAGTGGGAACTCAGATGGAGGAGACTGGTGCCTGCATGTGTGCTAGGAAGATAAAGCAGGAGCTGCAAAATGGCTGTGCTTGCCAAAATAACCTCCCTTCCCTCCAGCCTTCTCACCGTGCCTAGCAGACTGTGAGCTTTCCCTTCCTTACAGCAGGCTCGAAAACCTCCACGCAGCTTGGTATCTTCCAGATTTGACCAGTCTCTGCCATAAAAGTTGCAAAAAAATGTGCATTTCTGTAAACCATTAAGAGGAAATGGTGCTGAATTTAACCCAACTGGCAGCACCCTCAGCACTGTGTTTTTGCTCAAGGGCTCTAGGGCCCCTGGGCAAGGGACTGGTGATACTTGGTGCGTTGCCAGCCATGGGCAGCGTTTCTAAATGCAGGAGTTTGCAGCTTCCTGCCCTCTGCCAAAGTGAATGACCCGACTGTTTTTACTGCCCCCCTTACTGCAAGGTCTGGGCAGGCAGAGCAAGAACCACATGCTCTGCTCTGGTGAGGGATTTCTTGTCTCTGGCAAGAGGGCGTTGATGTGATGAATTTTGAAGGGTAGAGTGCAGCTCTTCCCCTTCGCTCCATTTGCTTTTTCCCCTCCTCGCTTCCCTAAGTTGGTGATGAGATGAGAAGGGAGGTTTCAGGGTATGGATTTAGCCTTCCATGTAGAAAACATCCATAGGAGCCGT